TGGAAGGATGGATATCAGTATCATAATTGCCAGCACAGATTTCTCTCAGGGTTTGTTTGCATTTAAGGTCATGCCTCTGGTCAGCTGACCAATCACTGTCTATTCAATGACACATGTAAATTATGTGAATAATGCAGTTTAATCAAATAAACAAACCTGATGCACTTTCATGCTCAACATCACCATGATGAATGGAGTCCATCATATTTTCAACAGCTTGGTGACCATCATGATTCACCAGGTTCTCTGAGACCAGATCACCTTCAGCTTTCACCATACTCTCAACAGCTTGTTCATCCTCTTCACTGTCATTGGGGGTAACAGCTGGTGGCAACCTTGAGAAGGAATACAGCTACATACATAGTTCACACACTTACACTTTTTGTGACCCTGCTCAGCAACTATATCTTCCATAGAAATGATGCCCAATTGTAGCTGCTCAAGGGCAACAGCATGGTCAAGCTTCATACCATTCTGGAGTGTAACCTGTCTCATCTGGAAGGAGTCAAGGTACTGATCCTTGCATTCTTGCTCTGTCAACCCTTGCAAAGAATTGCAACTTGAGCATGGTTGGAGAGGGGGATGTCAAGCTACAGAGCTGGATTCATGGTTCTGAAAACAGTGGTCAGTAAGCAAAAAAAAAAAAGAGGTAGCACTACACACCAGGCACTCCTCACCATCCCTTGACATTGGCTCATGTGTTTCAGAAATCATATCCTGATTTCTGCCTCACACTGATGGAAAGAGCTGAGACAGTAGTATGCAAGATGCAGGAAGTAGGTCTGTACTCACATTTGACTACCCGGTGATGGGCCTTTGCACCACATGAAGGTTGGGCTTTGGTGGGCAAAGTGATGGTAGGATTGACTCTCTTTGACCTCCAGGCACCAACAGGGGGACCAACTTTGAAAGTAATAGCAGGTGACCTAGTTGTCATGACTGTGCACTTGTCCTAGGTCCTCACTCACTCCACATCCCTTTCCACAGGTCATTTGTTCACTTCACACCAACTCCACCTGTCCCCTGACATTTATGAGTCATCTCCACTCCAACTGCTGTCAGACTTGTACTGCTCTCCTACTGGACCATGTGGGCCATTCTCTGAGGAGTCATGTGACTACCCTTCAGACTTCTCACTGACAGTGTGTGATCAGGTACTCTGCAGCATGTGCACCACATGGCCCAGTGCCTGGACTGTTTCCTCTTTGGGATTTTTTGTGTTACCCATTTGTGTGTCCTCTGTCTACCCTTCATTTGTCATCTAGGAAGTTTTACTTGAAATTTTACAAGTCTCTGTGTGTCAGTTCTGATTCCAGTTACCATACCTCTGTAGTAGTATAAAAGCATGTATTGTACTCTGCTGTTCTGCAGTACAAATATTGACTTAGTTCCTACTCCCTCTGTCTCTGTCTTCTGTTTGTTGGAGTTGCCACTGACTGTCCATCTGTACTCTCACCCTGAAATACAAGGGGTGAGATCATGCAAGGGGGTAGTGCATGAGCTAAACCCAATGCTCTCACTCCACTCACCTTTATCTTGGTGGACTTTGTTCCTGCCAACACTCCACCAGTCAGAGTTCAGTTCTTCCTGTCAGACTTGCTTCTGAACCTCTCCCCAGACCTTGCCTAGTGTTGGAGTTGGTTGGAGTAGGCCCAGACTTGACACTAGTCACAGGCATGATGAATTTGACCTGGTGGACATGTAGTCAAACTGTGGGCCAGTGGAACTGTGGAACATGTAGTCACCACACACTCTTTGCTGATGTGAAATCAAGCAAGATGGAAAGGAAAAGACATTCAGGTAAGGAATGACTGGGTAAGGAAAGACTGGGTTCAGGCCAAACATTGGTTAGTGGACAATTTATGATCTTGCACAAAGGGTTACACACCTGATTTGAAGTGAGTGAAGAAAAGAAGGCAAGGAAGAAGAGAAAACAGAGGATGAAACATTCACTACTGAGCTATTTATTTGGTCCAGGAAGAAGCCTACACACCTAATTCACACTAGCACCCTCACTTCCTTCTAGCTTGCACAATCCTATTGAGAAGGGTCAATTGAATGGAAATCCAGCATTCAGGGCAGAGGAAAAATGTGGCATGTCAACCAATAGAGTAGGACTGTCATTGTCATTGTGAGCAGAAAATATAATAAAAACAAAAAGTTGATGTCAAACCTACAGACAGGGTGATATATTCTTTTGACAAATAACCATGGTAGGTGTCAGTGAACAGTTGATAATAATACAGGTACCTTGGAATACAGATGAGATCACTACAAGAAATTAGGTTCAGGGAGCATTGACATTAAACCGTATTTTGACATCTATTTCATAATGTTTGTAGATTCAACAAAAAGATTTAAACATACTTCCTTGGACAACAGTACCAGATGGAGTGGGTAGGGAATGAGACAAGTGCCAATGAACAAAATAATGTATACCTGGTAACTAGAGCAGGTATATTCTCAGATCCAACAAACAGAGACCACTACACATACCTGATGATAACAGTGAACAAAGTTGACAACAATACAGGTACTTTGGACTACATACAACACAGAGTTGGTGAGGAATGGAAGGAGATCATTACCAGAAACTTGGTTCTGGGAGCATTGACATCAAACTTTATTTCTGCAGTGATTAACAGGTGCTAGAAAATGAGATGGGTACCTAGGGATTATGAGAGGCTGACTGCATTTGTAAATCAATGTAAACAGACCACATGCCATACCTGATAACAGCAGTAACTGTAGATCACGAGTATGTAATAATACCATAGCTCAGACTATGATAGCAATTGGCCAAGTGAAGAATGAGGTGAGCATCAACTAACAAGATGATTTACACCTAGATATTAGAGAGGGTGATCAGATTCATAAATCTAACAAAAAGAGACTGACACATACCTGATAGTGATGATAAGTCAACCCAACACCTGATGATGATAGATGTACCTCTGACTGCAATACAACAAGGAGTGGGTGAGTGAGGAATGAGGCGAGCACTGATGGAGGTAATTTATACCTAGATATTAATGAACATGATCAGATTTGTAGGTCCAATGAAATGCAAAGGTAGGACATACCTCATAACAATGATAAGTGAGGATTGACAGTCAATAACTATATATCTACCACAAACTGCAATTCAGCACAGAGTGGGTGGGTGTGGAATGAGGTAAGTGGTTGAGTGGAGATGAACAAGATAACTTATACCTAGATATTAAAGTGCATGATTGGATGTGTAAGTTCAATGAAAAGTGACAGGGGCACATTCCTTATAATAATGATAAGCAGGGATCAACAGCCAATAACAACACACCTACTGCAGACTGCAATAGAGCACGGAGTGGGTGGGTGAGGGATGCAACAAGTACTGACAAATGAAATGATTTAAATCTCATAGCTGATAACAAGAGTTGCAACAAGTACAGATTTGAACAAGATGATTGAAACCTCACACTTGATAATGATAATGAGTCAGGATCAACATCTGCTAACAATGGACATACCTCAGACAGCAATACTAGGCAGAGTGACAGTGACCCAGGAGAGAAACAAGATCAGTGCTAATGAATGAACATAGGTGTTTAGAATCAGCTGGAGGGAATAGTGCTATAAAACATACCTTTTTAAGTGGGAAGGAGAGGATCTGGGGTGAAGGCCAAGACAAACTCCTCAAGGTCTTGAACCCCACTAGCAGCATGGTGGTGCTGGGGCAACCTTAGTGATGCAAAGTCAACAGAGTATGAACTGCAGTGACACAAAGTCAGCTGCAGTTCTGAGTGAGCAGCACAGCCAGCTCAGGTTCAGCCAATCCATCCAAACTTGAAGCATAGAGGCAGCAAGCAGGAAGACAATGACAGGGAGGTGAGAGGATGACAGTTGTTTGTAACAAAGTGCTGAGCTGCTGGGCACTGTGCAGCTGGAACATGGTCCTATGACTTAGGTATTTTTTCCCTGGGAATTCTCCAGGCTATCACATCAAACATCACTATCAATATATGTACATAAGCATAATAGGTAAATCCCTACAAACAAATGAATACTTATGATTTTCTGACCACAACTACTCTTCATCCTTCTACCCTTGCCTTCCTCACTTTGTCACTCAGCACCTCTGCCCTCAAGGTCTCATGTCCCTCCCCACCATGCATGTCTTCTCCCATTGGGTTTGAGTTGGCTTTGTGCTGCTCATCTTGACCTGAAGTTGACTTTGTGTCACTTTAGGTTGCACTCTGTTGACTTTGTGTCACTGAGGTCACCCCAGCACCACCATGCTGCTAGTGGTGTTCAAGACCTTGAGGAGTTCATCTTGCCCTCTACCCCAGATCCTCTCCCACCATTTTCCTTCCATTACTTTCTTGTGTAAGGTGCATGTTCTATACATGCTATTCACCCCATTGTTCACCCCATTGTTCATTTCATGGTTCACCCTGCTGTTCACCCTGTCATTCACCCTGCCATTCTTCCTGGATCATCTTCTACCACTGTTGTGTTCTTATTTTCTTTCATAAATGGTGCATGTCAACTACAGGCCATTCACACCATTGTTTACCAAACCCTTTGCCCTGGACCTTCTCCTACCACTGCTGTACTCTTATATTCTTTTATAAAGGTGCATGTTGTTTATGTGCCATTTTCCCCATCATTCACCCTGCCCTTTATCCTGGACCCTCTCCCACCACCAACATTCATTTGCTTTCTTTCACAAACATGAGTATTTAATTACATGCCTTTCACCCTGTCACCAACTAATCTACACATGATCTGTCCATTATTCCTTGCAGCTCAATTCCAACACATGTGAAAATGTCCTGGGGGACTGCACTTACCCACTTCAAAGTGTTCACCCAGCCCAGTGATGGTATGTTCCTCTACTTTTGTGTTTTCCTGGAGCTTACTTACCATTCACAGCTAAAATTACATCACTGGATGCATGAGTGGTTGCATGCAAGGACTGCTGGGTGATCACATCACCCAATGTGGACTATGTTCTGGAGCTGTACATTTTCAAAGAAATTGATCTTTGTCCATGTGCTGACAGTCAGTTTGGCCTTGTTGATTGCTTCCAATGGCCTCAAACATATGAAAAAAACTATGAATGTGCTGTTTGCATACCTTGAAAAAATATGGTCCCTACTCTCAATATTGCTTGGTTCACTCCAACATCCATGGATTTTGTCCTTCCACTCAGCTCTGTGTATCTGGTGGGAATGCTTGAAGAGGCAAAGGTCAAGGCCTTTGAAGAACTACTTCAGCAACTGTGCAGCCACTATCACCCCCTCCACAATCAACCTGTGGGTTGAGACCTTATGACCCAACTAGTGTGGTCAGTTCAACACAAGGTTTTGCCCTTGTGGCATCACCCCCTTTTATTCCAAGACCTCATCATTTTTGTTGCCCAGCTTCAGTGCAAGCTGCTTGACATTTATGCTTTGCTTGAATACAATGAGATTCTCTCCCTGCTTCTTTCATCTCCCCAGTTGAGCTGGATGGCTCTGGCAACCAAGCAGCATATGAAGCCTTCATCTTGGCTTGCAAATTCTACATCCAAAGTGCATTTGATTATCTTGGGCATCAACCATCCCTCCCCTGCATTGTTACCTTTGTCTAACATCCTCTGCCACATATACTTTTTTGTTCTGTCCAAATTTGTTTAGTATGAGTATGTACCATGTCATAAAGCAGGCTGAATCAATTTGATGATTCAGAATGTTGCCTGTGACTGAACCTTAATCTCATGCTTTGTGCTCACTGCTTTTTTTTTGTTGATAGCAATGTGTTATTCACTGACACTCCCACTGCCAGGCAAGGAATGTTCCCATCCCCCTTCACTGCTATTGATGCTTTATCTGCATCAAGGTCTGCACCATTTAATTCTTTGAGACTTGTTCTGCTTGGTATGTATGACATCTTGATGATGGGGTTCCTGCTCACTGTGATGTTGATAGCAACTTTTGTTTTTAACTGCTCAAGACTTGTGCTCTGGTAAGTAGGATCCTACTTGGCTGTATGTGGTGATCTGATGAATTTTCTGTGTAGTTTTTCCCTTCCAGAGGTTCATCATCTGGTCAAAATCCTCTTGGACTGACACCCCCTACTGACTTTGTGTTGTGCTTTCCACCACCTGTTGACTTTGAGTCCCAGGTGCACTGCCATTGGCTTTGTGTTGCCATTTCCAGAATGATCTGAGATGGCTGTTCACCATCCAAAGCCTCAGAGGCATTGCAATGCTTCACCTTCTATGAGTAATTCTAATATTGTGAGTTGTCCCTGTCTTCAAGCCTCATGTTGTGCTCATCATTTCTCTACAGGCCTCCTCCACTTCATCTGTCCAAGCTGGTCTGGTACCCAGTGTACTCACTGACCATCCTTCATCTTTGTCTGGTAATGAGCCATTGCTTTGTACTTCTGGCCCTTTGGTGCGTGCAATTTCATTATGGTATTCTTCATATCATCTTAGCTCCCCTACAGGTCTTGTTGATGTCATCTGCCTCAACCAACTGGCTGCCTGATGTAGCCACTCCATCATCAAACAATCAAGTGTCACTTGATATACCTGCCCCTTCAGTATGTTCTGATCCTATGTCTAAGAGGTTATACATGTTTATTTTTGGGTAGAATATGACACAGTCATTGTTTTTCCCTCCTCCTCTAGCTTGTCACTGCCACCCTTTTGGTATGAAAGCACTGTACCTCCCTGCACCTCCACCTGTCTTTGTACTTCCAGGCTGCCAATGTCATGCTCAAGATACTGCTGCAATGCCACATTGCCCTCAGCACCAACCTGTTGATGTCTTAAATGCTGTGAATGAGCTTGAACTCAGTGAGGTTGGCTTGCCTTCACATCCAAGTGGTTCACAGAAGCATGAGAACCAATGGTGACAGTGGTCACAAGATATTATTTCAGCACTTCTCAAGCCCTACATGTGCTATCTTGAGGCATCCCAATCCCTCTGCATGGTGGTAGACCCCCCAGTCATCCATTGATGTTGCACTTGCACAGTGTATCAATTCACTGTTTGCTGTCTCTTCTTTGACTATATGTGACCCTTTTGTTGTTTGCTCTTGTGATGCTCATGTATACCCAGGCTTGGAGGACATCAGGATAAGCTACTGTGCATGCACCCCAGCTCCTATATGCCTCATGGGTCATGGGTTATTTGCATCATCTCCTGTGGTACCTACTCTAGCAGTTGACCTTCATGTACTCCAGTGGAGTGTGTAAAGAAGCTCTTTATCCAGCTAACCCCAAACACAACTGCATGGTGTGAAGCACTTGAAAGCTTCCTGGAAGGCCAAGGGTATAGACTGTAGTTCAAGGTATGTTCTTTTCCAAACACCATCACTGGATCTCTGCCTTTGTCTTCACATCCACCCTGTATGCTACTTGTATTGGTATATCATCATGGTTTGAATGTACATGTACCCACACAAATATCTCTGGTGTAATGATGGGTGCTTATTCAAATAATCAGGAAAATCTCCAGTGGCATTTCAGTAATGCTTATCATTGGCATACTGTATTGACAATATATGCAGAGGACCATATTTCTGCTATGGTCTGGTCCTTTTGCCCAAACTCCATGCCACAACAGGATAGCCCCTGGCCAAGTGACTACCTATGTGCTTGCTGTCCTCATTGCTTTGGGGGAGGTGACTTACAGAGCTCTAACCCTCATCAGGATGAGTGAGTCAATGACAAGCTCATTGTTGCTGACTAGATGACTGAGACCCAATAGCTTTGACAGCATTGTCTGCTTAGATGCATGTTTCACTCAGAAGAGAACCAACAAATCTGCCACTGATGACCCTCCCAATCCCACCACCACTGTATTCATCCCTGAGTCAGAGGTGAAGGCCATGGAGGTTTTCATTGAGAAACAGAGATTCCTCCCAACCAGTCAACATCATTCTCAGACTCAAAATCAGCAGGACAGGTTGGAGGATGGAATGAGGGTACCTGCCTCTGTGTTGGATGGGTGTGGAGGTTCTTTCCATGCAGCAGATGAGAAGAGGAAAAAAGCCAGCACACAATTTTTTGCAGATACAGGGCTTACGGCTTTGTCGTGTTGTCATGATCATATCCTCCAGTTGGTTAATATGACATCAGCAGGGGAAAAGCAGCTCTATGCCCTAGTGCTGGTGAAACATCTCTTTGACCATCTCCCTGCCAAGATGACTGTTGGCCTCTTATATGACATTGGTTGTCAATTGGAGCATAGCTGTCAAAAGTGGAAACTCCTTGATGATGCGATACTCTCCAGGTTGAAGTTTGGTATTTCTGTCTTCCATGCTTATGGTTATCAATGGCCATGCCAATTGGTATATCACCCACATAAATGTGTAGGCTTTGGCTTGTCAGATGGTGAGGGGTGTGAGTGACTATGGAGTGCCCTAAAAATGCTTATTCCAATTCTTTGAGTATCTGGGGTAAGCATTGACTCTTCTTCAAATATAATTCCAGTGCTCATTTTACCCTTAGTATCATCAGAGATTATTTGTCCTTGACAATCAAATTCGACACTTGGACAAGAAGTCTTTTGATGCATTTGGCCAGTGGCTGAGCAGGAAATGGTCCCTCTGCAAAAGTAGGAAATTAGTGGCTTTGGAGGCTCTTCATGCTCTGCATGTCAACATGCAGACTCTACAGCATGAGTGGGCTGCACAAGTACATGCACAAACTCAACTTCTACCTCATTA